GTTGGTTGTATTCAGATTTTAGAAACGGTCTGGTTTAAGTCATATCATCTTCTTTGCCATGGCTGTGGTGGAGGAAAGCTTCCTTTCCCCCATCACAGCATCAGAGAAATCTAGTCAACCAAAACATTCTGCTAAATATGAGCTGCCTCGGCTCAAAAGCAGATACAGATGTTTCTCGCTGTGAGATTCAGACACAACTGACCCTCTTCATCATAGCACCTTCACTGGTTGAGTTTCAGCCAGGTTGGCATACTGAGGTGCTAAGGGAGCTTAGTTCTGCAAACTGCGAGTTAGATCTTTGCCCCTCATGATGTGTAAATTCTGGCTGGTTGGTACTGGGTTCATTGTTAGTTGAGATTACAGATAGAGGAGAGTGAATAATTGATTTTTCAGTTCCATAGTCAAACTGAAAAATTCAAAAAACAAATTTGTTTTGTTGTGAACCAAAATTGATTTTTTTTCACTGAAAAAAATTTGCCCAGCTCAAATTACTAATGCCCCTCCTTTGATACAAATGATTTTATTAGGCCCATGCTTAAGCTGTCTCCTAAAGCTGGGTGAGGATACTGAAAAGAAACTTTGTGTTGTCTGGCAACCACAGGTATCCCTGAACCCTTCCAATATGGTTTATGACCTGGGTTTGGCATGGAGACTGCACTAGTGTCATTTGTTGCAAGTCTTAAAGCAATGGTGAGATGACCTAAATGATTATTCTAACTCTGTCAGTAACCTTGAATACCATTGTCTACAAATCACAGTTCAGCTGCTCTGAAAATCAGAACATAGACACAGGTTGTACACAAAAAGATCTCACAAAACTAAGTGATTGGGCAACAAAATGGCAAATGAAATTTAATGTGGATAAATGTAAAGTAATGCACATTGGAAAAAATAACCCCAACTATACATACAATACGATGGGGGCTAATTTAGCTACAACAAATCAGGAAAAAGGTCTTGGAGTCATCGTGGATAGTTCTCTGAAGATGTCCACGCAGTGTGCAGAGGCGGTCAAAAAAGCAAACAGGATGTTAGGAATTATTAAAAAGGGGATAGAGAATAAGACGGAGAATATATTATTGCCCTTATATAAATCGATGGTACGCCCATATCTTGAATAATGCGTACAGATGTGGTCTCCTCATCTCAAAAAAGATATACTGCCACTAGAAAAGGTTCAGAGAAGGGCAACTAAAATGATTAGGGGTTTGGAGAGGGTCCCATATGAGGAGAGATTAAAGAGGCTAGGACTTTTCAGCTTGGAAAAGAGGAGACTAAGGGGGGATATGATAGAGGTATATAAAATTATGAGTGATGTAGAGAAAGTAGATAAGGAAAAGTTATTTACTTATTCCCATAATACAAGAACTAGGGGTTACCAAATGAAATTAATAGGCAGCAGGTTTAAAACAAATAAAAGGAAGTTCTTCTTCACACAGCGCACAGTCAACTTGTGAAACTCCTTACCTGAGGAGGTTGTGAAGGCTAGGACTATAACAGCGTTTAAAAGAGAACTGGATAAATTCATGGAGGTTAAGTCCATTAATGGCTATTAGCCACGATGGGTAAGGAATGGTGTCCCTAGACTCTGCTTGTCAGAGGGTGGAGATGGATGGCAGGAGAGAGATCACTTAATCATTACCTGTTAGGTTCACTCCCTCTGGGGCACCTGGCATTGGCCACTGTCGGTAGACAGGATACTGGGCTAGATGGACCTTTGGTCTGATCCAGTACGGCCGTTCTTATGTTCTTATGTGTAGAGGAAGTGGTGAATGAATTGCAAAATGCATATTTTACGTAGGAAAAAATCGTGCAGTATTTTACAAAGTGAAAACTTATATAAGGTAAATTACTTAAATGCTGACAATAGGTAGAGTTTACTAAACATAGAATGGAACATTTTCCATGAAGAATTCATAGCATCTAAGCAGGTTAGTGTTATCATAACAACTGTTTTTTTAATAACAGTGCTCAACAATAACTACCTCAAGCTTAGCCTGGGTTTGTTTGACCTCCAGTTTTGTTTTTTTATCATCTCATATACATGTGCGGCTCCCATCAAGTTTAGAACCACTACTGCAATGCCACGGGCAGAACTTAGCCCTGACTGTTTGTGTTGTCAAATTTTATCAATTGTCAATTACACGTGAATATGTGGTGAGACCTGCACCTACTCTAGACATCCTCTTGTTTTAAGAATCCATTTTTAGGTGTCCCAAAAGTTCCCAGTACCATTTTCTTTAAAGTAGTTAAAAATGAACCACTATGAGGTACTGATCTTTTCTGATCCCTTGGGTCCCCATTTAGGACAGGTTTCACAGTATTTAAAATATAGTAATACTTGGCTTGGCCAGAGCCTGAAGTCCTCTTTTACTTTTAACTCAGTCCTTGCTCAAGCAAAAATCTTGTCAACCCTGGAATTTTTTATTTCAGTTTAACACATTAACTAATACAGTAGTAAATTCTAGTGTAGATAGAACACAGATTGTTTATTCCCAGGCTTGTTTAACCCTGGGTTTAACTTGTGAGAGTCGTGATGTTAATGCCAGTGATACGTTGGTGGAAAACATGACTGTGAATGTGTTTATATCCTGTCCACAGTAGAATTTACAGCTGTTAATTAACACATTAGAACATTGTTGAAAATTCCACTGTATGCAACTTCTAACTGAAAATAGTAGAGGTTCTCCAGAGTAAAAACTGAGAGGTGGGTGGGATGTGGATGCACAGTGGAGGCAGGGAGGGCTAGAAACAATTCCTCATTGCATCTGTATGTCTTGGAGGCAGCCCCATAAGGCATGCACTTCCTCTTACTACAGCATTGGTCTACAAGGGACAATTGAGCATTAGTTGACAAGCTCAGGATATGGCCGTCTGTGATTTGCTATTTCATGTGTACCTACTGTAGTCAAGTCCTATATGCGGGACTTTAAAGGGATTATAAAAAAAATTGCTAGTTTAGACAATGAAAGCATGACTCTAACTCACTGATGTCTATACAAAAGTGCTTCTGATAATTAGTGGAATTCCAGGGGCATAAAATATGTTTTCATTTGTTCCAGGGAAAAGATCCTTGCAACACATTCCAAGTCTTTTTATTTCCTTTTTTTTAAAGCCTTCTTATATGCACTCTGTTGCAAAATGAGCAGCAATATATTAAGACCTGTAAATACTTCCTGCTGATTTTGACAGTTTTTTTATTATAGCAGAAAGAAGTATAAAACTGAATACCAGATTTGCATTTTTAAAAGAATGTTCTCCCTTCACTATATTGCCATAGCACTGTTTCATGTTGTATCTCAACATCTAAATCCTAGCAGAATTACTGTAAAACCTGCTTGTCGCTGAGAGGGATCATGTAAAGCTATAGCAAGGTGATAATGGATAGGTCACCATAATTACAGTATATTCCCTCATACAGGCAGCCAGTTGCTTTTGCACATCGTGAATTTTTCATTTTCTTTATTTCAAATTCAGTGTTTCTGTTAAAACTTAATAAAATTGATGAAAGACATATCTGGATTCAAACCCATTCATCTTTCAACTTTAAAATAGTAAGCATGTTATGTATCATTACCTCTATTCATTTGCTTTTATTAGGGTTTACTGGGTAATATTTGTTTTATTCACTTTCCTTATTTACACACTGAGACAAATTCAGCCCTGGTGTAACACTGCTGAAGCAATTTGAGTTACACCAGACCTGAATTTAGTTCCTTATCTCTCATTGATGGATTTTCTGTTCAAAACATACCTGTTCTAACATTTGCCAACAATGCCTATCACAGGAGAAACATAGGTAATGCAACACATGGGTCTACAAACTTGAAGAGAAAGTAAAGCAGAAAGTGTCATACGTTTTTCATTTGTATTTTAAAAGTTTTAAGCAGAGTAGAGTTATAGACTTTTTACATAATACTGTGTCCCCAAAACACTTATACTTTGGCTCGTCACCGTTTAATTCTGATGGAAATATTTTAAAGTCTTACATGGAATTACAATTAATGTGGAAATTTAAACTGAACATAATTGAGAGATTCTCTTGCTCCTGAACTATGTAGCTGAACCATCACTGTTAGGGATGAGTGTTATATTAGCTCATTTAGGGCTTGTCTACACTTACCAGGGGATCAACGAGCAGCGATTGATGCATCGGCGGTCAATTTAGCGGGTCTAGTGAAGACCCGCTAAATCGACCGCCAATCGCTCTCCCATTGACTCCTGTACTCCACCGGATTGAGAAGAGTAGGGTCGCATAGTGTGGACCTCGCGGTAAGTTGATCTAAGCTACGTCGATTTGAGTTACACTATTCACATAACACAAATTACATAGCTTAGATTGAATTTCCCCTGTAGTGTAAACAAGGCCTGAGATACTTCTGAATAATACAGCTTTGGCCTTTGAATGCACTAAATTGTAGAAAATGGCAGGTACCTGTATAATCAAACTATGTCCCCAGAAAAAGACACCTAAGATCTCCCTGAAAGGATGCTGTATCCTTCTGATCTCCCTCTTTCACCCAAGTTACTCAGTTCAGACACTGATAATGATTGAATTGTCCAGTAAAAGTCATGTGTAATCACAATAGTTTAACTATCATCTTTGTTACTAGAAGCTTTAGTTTAAGCAGGGTAGTTTTACTCCCTCTGGAAGTCTCCCCTCAAGGGATTAATTTCCTCTAATAGTGTGGGCTACCATAAATCAACTTCCTTCTTCTAAGTGAGGTTCCCCTAAGGGAGCTACAGCCAGCTCCAGTAATTTTTTTCCTAAACTAAATACCCAGTTGGCTGCCTCCTGTTTGCTTGAAAAGATTTTTCTGTAAGAAAATCTGGCCTTTTGTGAAAGAGTAACAATTTGCTTGGTTTGTCTCTCCCACCCTCCCAGTTACAGACAAGCTTGAATACACACAAACTGTGCTACGTTTTCACTATGTTATCTTGTTTTAAATTGGAACGATCAGCATGACTGGAGTTCTTTGTTTCTTTTGTGTTTCCCATAGTGCCAGGCTTCCCTTACCCTGCTGCAACTGCAGCTGCTGCTTACAGAGGTGCACATCTAAGAGGTCGAGGTCGCACAGTGTACAACACGTTTCGTGCAGCAGCCCCCCCTCCTCCAATTCCAGCCTATGGCGGGTAAGTGGATCAGTCTCTTTTACCTGTTACAATACATCCCCAAAGGCTATGAACTGTTTGTGAGTGCAGTGCATGCTGGTCTTGTCTCACTACAGAAACCAACACAGCATGCAACCAATCCAACTGCCTGAAGTGGTGCACCTTGCACAGAGTATTGAAAAATGACTGTAATTTGTACTGTCATGGTTGGTGGCTTTAAGCATTTTATATGTCACATGTTGTTATGTAAATTCTCTTAGAGACTGAAGGCTGCAGAACAGAGAAATTTACAGTTGAAAGTGTATTTTTTGTGATTGCAAACATCTGGTTATTAAGGAGGTTGGATGAAGTAAACTTTTTCTTTTTTTTCAAATTCAGATTCTCCCACAGAAAGTTATCTCAGGATAGCTAGAGGGTGTGTGTGTTTATTTTGTTTGTTTATTTATTGCACATAAAAATTCAGTTTTGTTTCATATTTTCTTAGTGACATCTCTTCGCCTACATTTACTGAAAACCAAGATGCAAAATAAACAACACACTGAAATCCACATTAAATGATGACTTAATAAACTGCCCTCAGCTAATTAGGAAAACTAAACTTTTAAGAACTAAGATATAATTTGGGGAGGATGGGGGAACTTCACAGCCCCTTTTAGCCCCTGCAAGTGTTGAAACAGATGATTTAATTGTTGCACAAGATCATTAAAATACATCACTTACTTTAAGACTTGATTCTATCAGAGGAATCCTAGAATTTGTAGAATCTGGCAGTTGAAGCAGTGGTAGATTGGGTGGGTCCCAGCCTCCCAGACCAGAAGAGTATGGCATAAAAGAGGCCATAGTGGACATGCCTCATCTCTTGTAGAGCCCACACTAGCCACTATTTCTGTCTGCTAAGTGGCTTGTATTTGTGACTGGTTGGACACAGTTCTCATTAAACATTGTGTCCTGCCAGGCAAAAATGCAGGCCATTTACTAGACAGGTTCCTAAGCACCTGAAGTCAGTCAGCCCCTGAACTGCAGGTTCTGGAGATGCCAGGGACTGGCTGCCTGATACTTACTTTGCATCTGGCTGTGTCACCTACCAACAAAGAGATAGGGCAGTAAGAGTGAGTTTTGTCTTTTTTTTTTTTTAAGTAATCTGCCACACAATGTGGTTATTTATAAAAATGCATTTATTAAATTGTTTCCTGGTATGGTTTGTATAGTGCAGCAAAAAGAAATCGCCATGCATCTAATGGAAAACGTCTGAAGGATTTTTGCTAAGATTGGCTGCAACTATGTTTGTTGATACCAGCAAGCAGCTGAGTGAAGGGAGTCCTTGCGGGATAAATCACTGTTGGGATTGGAATGGATTTAGCCTCTCTTCCCCATGGTGACACATCTGGGCCATATTGGTCCCACTCAGGTACACAAGTCCATAATGGCTACCAGACCTAGCTGCTTCTGCATAATATGCCAAGAGTTCATGTCCCCCCCATCCATTAACCCCTAAAGATAGGCTGCTTCAGAATCTGTGCAATTTATTCCCTGACCCTTATGGGTATTCCTACATTGCAGCTGGGAGTGAGACTAGCTAGCTCAAGTTAGCATGGTAAAAATAGCAATATAGATGTTGCGACTCCAGCAGAGGCTCAGGGTATGTCTACACTACGAATTTATAGAAGCCGGTTTTATACAGTCGATTTTGTGTGTCCCCACATAAAATGCTCTAAGTGCATTAAGTCGGCGGACCGCGTCCACAGTACCGAGGCTAGCGTCGACTTCCGGAGCATTGCACTGTGGGTAGCTATCCCACAGTTCCCGCAGTCTCCGCCGCCCATTGTAATTCTGGGTTGAGATCCCAATGCCTGATGATGCAAAAACTGTGTCGCGGGGGGTTCTGGGTACATTTCGTCAGGCCCCCTCCCCCTCCGTCAGAGCAACGGCAGACAATCGATTCGTGCCTTTTTACCCAGATCACCTGTGCAGACAACATACCACGGCAAGCATGGAGCCCGCTGAACTCAGCTCACCGTCAGCATATGTCATCTGGGTGCTGGCAGACGTGGTACTGCATTGCTACACAGCAGCAGCTAATTGCCTTTTGGCAGTAGACGGTGCAGTATGACTGGTAGCCGTCATCGACTATCTGGGTGCTGGCAGACGTGGAGCTGCATTGCTATACAGCAGCAGCTCCTTGCCTTTTGGCAGTAGATGGTGTATTACGACTGGTATCCATCGTCGTTGTATTCCTCAGTGAGTTCGGTCAGAGGCACCTGGGCAGACATGTTTTGTCTCCTGGAGACTCAGTCCTGCCGGCAGTCCTATTGAACCGTCTTGACGATGATGGCTAGCAGTCATAGTACAGCATCTTCTGCCAAGCACCCAGAATATGCCGATGGCTATCAGTCATGCTGCACCGTCTGCTGCCAGCTTAAGATGTAAAAAATAGATGGACCAGATTTGTTATGTATTCATTTGCTTCCCCCTCCCTCCGTGAAATCAACGGCCTGCTAAACCCAGGTTTTGAGTTCAATCTTTGGGGGGGCCATTCTGTGTGACAGTTGTTTGTGTTTCTCCCTGATGCACAGCCACCTTTGTTGATTTTAATTCCCTGTAAGCCATGTCGTCACTTGCCTCTCCCTCCCTCCCTCCGTCAGACAATAGTTTCGCGCCTTTCTTCAGCCCAGACGCCATAGCACTGGGATCATGGAGCCCGCTCAGATCACCACGGCAATTATGAGCACTATGAACACCACGCGCATTGTCCTGGAGTATATGCAGAGCCAGAACATGCCAAAGCAAAACCAGGCGATTGCAGCGATTGCAGCGTGTGTGGAAAAGTGGATGAGGAAATTGACATGGACATAGACCTCTCACAAAGTACAGGCCCCAGCAGTGTGCAAATCATGGTGTTACTGGGGCAGGTTCATGGCGTGGAACGCCGATTCTGGGCCCGGGAAACAAGCACAGACTGGTGGGACCACATCGTGTTGCAGGTGTGGGACGATTCCCAGTGGCTGCGAAACTTTCGCATGCGTAAGGGCACTTTCATGGAACTTTGTGACTTGCTTTCCCCTGCCCTGAAGCGCGAGAATACCAGGATGAGAGCAGCCCTCACAGTTGAGAAGCAAGTGGCGATAGCCCTGTGGAAGCTTGCAACGCCAGACAGCTACCGGTCAGTCGGGAATCAATTTGGAGTGGGCAAATCTACTGTGGGGGCTGCTGTGATCCAAGTAGCCAACGCAATCAAAGACCTGCTGATATCAAGGGTAGTGACTCTGGGAAACGTCCAGGTAATAGTGGATGGCTTTGCTGAAATGGGATTCTCAAACTGTGGTGGGGCGATAGATGGAACCCATATCCCTATCTTGTCACTGGAGCACCAAGCCACCGAGTACATAAACCGCAAGGAGTACTTTTCAATGCTGCTGCAAGCCCTGGTGGATCACAAGGGACATTTCACTAACATCAACGTGGGATGGCTGGGAAAGGTACATGATGCTCGCGTCTTCAGGAACTTTGGTCCGTTTCAAAAGCTGGAGGAAGGGACTTTCTTCCTGGACCAGAAAATAACCGTTGGGGATGTTGAAATGCCTATCGTTATCCTTGGGGACCCAGCCTACCCCTTAATGCCATGGCTCATGAAGCTGTACACAGGCAGCCTGGACAGTAGTCAGGACCTGTTCAACTATAGGCTGAGCAAGTGCCGAATGGTGGTGGAATGTGCATTTGGACGTTTAAAAGCGCGCTGGCGCACTTTACTGACTTGGATAGACCTCAGCGAAGCCAATATTCCAATTATTATTGCTGCTTGCTGTGCGCTCTACAATATCTGTGAGAGTAAGGGGGAGACATTAATATCGGGGTGGGAGGTTGAGGCAAATCGCCTGGCCGCTGATTACACGCAGCCAGACACCAGGGCGGTTAGAAGAGTACAGCAGGGCGCAGTGCGCATCAGAGAAGCTTTGAAAACCAGTTTTGTGACTGGCCAGGCTACGGTGTGAAACTTCTGTTTGTTTCTTCTTGATGAACCCTCCGCCCCGCCCCCCTGGTTCACTCTACTTCCATGTAAGCCAACCGCCCTTCCCTCCCCCCTTTGATCACCGCTTGCAGAGGCAATAAAGTCATTGTTACTTCACATTCATGCATTCTTTATTAATTCATCACACAACTAGGGGGATAACTGCCAAGGTAGCCCAGGAGGGGTGGGGGAGGAGGGAAGGAAAAGGACACTCTGCAGTTTAAAACTTTAACACTTATTGAAGGCCAGCCTTCTGATGCTTGGGCAATCATCTGGGGTGGAGTGGCTGGGTGGCCGGAGGCCCCCCCACCGCATTCTTGGGCGTCTGGGTGAGGAGGCTATGGAACTTGGGGAGGAGGGCTGTTGGTTACACAGGGGCTGTAGCGGCAGTCTCTGCTCCTGCTGCCTTTCCTGCAGCTCAACCATACACTGGAGCATATCAGTTTGATGCTCCAGCAGCCGGAGCATCAACTCTTGCCTTCTGTCAGCAAGCTGACGCCACCTATCCTCTTCAGCCCGCCACTTGCTCTCTTCAGCCCGCGATTCAGCCCACCACCTCTCCTCTCGTTCATATTGTGCTTTTTTGCACTCTGACATTGACTGCCTCCACGCAGTCTGCTGTTCTCTGTCAGCGTGGGAGGACATGTGGAGCTCCGAGAACATATCATCCCGAGTCCGCCGTTTTCGCCTTCTAATCTTCACTAGCCTCTGTGAAGGAGAAACATTTGCAGCTGGTGGAGGAGAAGGGAGAGGTGGTTAAAAAAAGACACATTTTAGAGAACAATGGGTCCACTCTTTCACGTTACATTTTGCTGTTCACATTACACAGCACATGTGCTTTCGTTACAAGGTCGCATTTTTCCTCTTATATTGAGGGTCTGCTGGTTTGGTGTGAGAGATCACTCACGCAGTGCCAGGCAACAGATTTCGGCTTGCAGGCAGCCATGGTAAGCCACAGTCTTTTGGCTTTTTTAACCTTCTTAACATGTGGGAATGGTTTCAAACAGTAGCGCCC